TGCCATTACCTGCTGCTAGCCTTCTGAATGGGTTGGGCGATCATTTCAATTACTTCTGCTTGTCAAGCAGGCTGCAGCTTGTGACTTGCCAAACACAGCACACATGCCAATAAATCTCTTGGGAGTTGGCAAGCATCTGAGAGGCCATAATACGATATTGCTGGACTCTGTGCTGTGTTTGGCTTAGTGTATCATAAATTGTGCAGGTCTATGGTAGCATGTTAGCATCAACGCTAAGGACCACTTCCTTGCTGCAGGGTTGCTTGAGCATAACACAGCAGAGGGAATAATTTATGTAACAGAAGATGAATCTCCCCACTCCTGCACCTCACCTTCTGTGACCACATCCCCTTTTCTCTCAATCTGGCTCTGATATTGGAAGTGTGGTTGGGCTGGTGAGACAACTGCTTCAAGTACAGAGCATTGGGGCAGCAAGGCAGGGAAGGGTTCAATTCAGCTCTCCATGTATCCTTTAGAAATCCAGCTCAGGCCTGGCATTAGCAACCTGGCACCCTTGGGAAACTGTGAGGGCCCCAGGGCCCTTTGAAATCTGCCCTTGGCCCCAAACCAGATGACTGGGTAGGTGTGGCGATCACACAGGGTCCCTGGACGTTTCACCGTCTATTGATCCCTGTGCCACCACTTTATTTCTCACTGCCACCACCCGGGCCCTACCCTGGTACAATACCCAGTCCAGTCAGGGTTAAACTGGAACATAAACTTTTGTTTATTTATTGCAGTTTAACAAACGCGTGGTTTCATAAACGGTATCGGCCAATTACAACCATGGGGTGCCTATCCAGACCTATAACTTCTGCTACCTGCTCTCACTCACTAAACCACCTCTCAGATATTTCCTTGTCTTCCTAGTTCCTAACTATTCCTGGCTCAGCTTATTTCGCTACACTAACTCAACCTACCCACAGACTCTATCCCAATTCACTCCCACTCCAACCAACCACCCAACTCCCAACGAACTCCTCCCTTTGCCCCTCCCAGAGCTGGTTTTATAGTCCCTCTGACTCCACCCCCTGGATCCTGATTGGGTAACCTGTTTAACTATTTCACCTCCAGCACTCTCATATGTTAATGTCACAGTAGGCAACCCACCATTTTATATTTCCCACAGTGCCCCAAAGAGACACAATCTCAGGGATATTGTGCATAGCTGTCAACCTTCTCTTTTTTTGCAGTAAATTCCCTTATTCCAGTGCCGTTTCCCACTGCTTCCCACTGCTATCCTGGATTGTTAGATATCCCACAGCCTGTCCCAGGGACAGGTGAGGCTGCTGATCCCTTATTTTCGAGGCTGCTGATGCCTTATTTTCAAATCTGAAAGTTGACAGCTATGGTATTGTAGGAAATACCGTATTTTTCGCTCTATAAGACACACCAGACCACAAGACGCACCTAGTTTTTGGAGGAGGAAAACAAGAAAAAAAATATTCTGAATCTCAGAAGCCAGAACAGCAAGAGGGATCACTACGCAGTGAAAGCAGCAATCCCTCTTGCTGTTCTGGCTTCTGGGATAGCTGTGCAGCCTGCATTCGCTCCATAAGACGCACACACATTTCCCCTTACTTTTTAGGAGGGGAAAAGTGAGTCTTATAGAGCAAAAAATACGGTATATAATGGCAGCTTGTAGCTTCCCACCAATGCTAGTAGGTGGGCCTGCAGCTGAGGGCCCACCAATGTAGGAAGACACTTTGACCCCCCAAGCCTGGAGATGGCTTCTTATGTGAAAGGGGCAGACAAAAGCAGCAAGCAAATGGCTCAGGCCTACCTGAAGTCTCTCCCCACTCAGAGACTGGGGTGCACGCAACACTATTAGGGCCAAGCCAGATGTAACTGGGGTACCCATTTGTTTCCTGATTTTTGTCTGCTCCAATTATATCTTGTTTGGCCCTAATAACATTGTGTGCGCCCCAGTCTCTGAGAGGAGACAGACTTCATGGAGCCCTGGGTGTGGTTTCCTTGGGATAAAGGTCGATAGAAACTATGGTGTCTTTTTCTATACAAATATATGCAACCTGAGCATAGGATGGAGAGGTTCGCAGTATTAACACCCCAACAGATACAAAATCACAGGCCTGGATGGAACCAATGGATATCATCCAGACTGACCCCCACCCTGCAACAATATAAAATATTTTGCACTTCTTCTTGATAAAGCTCTGTCTCCTACGGCAACCTGTTGATCTCAAAGATTATTTAAATTGCCTTTCTGCTTTATAAAATATATGTCCCTCTTGAAAAATATGGTTTTGCCTCATAAGTATACTGTATTGGGTTTTTTTAAAATGAAATGAAATGAACTATTTATGTTTTTGGAACTATTCCCCATAAGTTCCTGTCTGTCATTTTCTGTAAATAACATCTGTTTCCCAGGCATTTGTTAGATGCTAATTAGTCTGGATCGTTTTGCAAAAGCATCACCGGCATGCTTGCTTTAAAATACACAAATCAGATGCTAACAGACTGTAGCTAAACTCCATTGTTATCAACGTCCATCTTGCCATATGGCTTGCAGGCACATGATGTAGCTCTTGCCTCTCCTGCACCCAGCCATACTCTTTTCCACATTCCACAAAAATCTGCTCTTCTCGCGTCTGCGCGTGCGTGGGTCGCGATTCGCCGCTTCTGCGCATGCACATAACATCATTTTGAGAGTCTGCGCATGCGCGAGCGGCGAAACCTGGAAGTAACCTGTTCCGTTACTTCTGGGTCCCTGCGGAACGCAACCTGAAAATGCTCAATCTGAAGCTACTTTAACCCGAGGTATGACTGTAGTCACTTCCTTTACATCACGTGTGTTATTTTGACCCTAATCCTGTTCTTTTTGTTCACAGAAATACAGGTCCTCCTTGACAGCCCTCTTTGGAGGCTGAGGCTGGTCACATAAGGGGAAATCCACGCCCCTTCATACAGCAGTGGAGCAAGCCGATCAGGCGCCTGGGGCAGTGCGCGTGCCCTGTGCCCAGGGGCGGGGCCAGCCTCCCACGGGGCGTGGCGAGCTGGGGCAGGATGCTCTGCGGGGCCTCCAAGGAGTCTGCCTGCCTCCTCCCCCTCAGCCGCCCTACAGCTGAGGGGGAGGCGTCGGGAGGACCGTTTGGGGCAGCGTGGAGCCTGCAGGTGCCCAAGCCACCATGTCACTCTCAGGAGAGATGTGTGGCTCTGGCACGCTGCAGGCCCTGCGGTGAGTGTCACCCGGCATGTTGTCACCCCCCTCAGTGGGGGTGTCCCGCCCCCACCGCACCCCCTTCCTCTGCCCCTGATCCTGGCCCCCTTTCAAATCCCCCGTCTCTGTTCACACAGCAGGGCAAGGGAAAAGGACTTCTTTTGCATTTCCAGTTAGGCTCTCCTTGTCCTTGAATTGTTTCTTAAAGGCCCTTGCTTGGCCAGGTCCTTTTGCATAGGGTAGCCCAGGATTTCCTCTGCAGCTTGTATTTCTCCCTTCACATCCCAAATAATCCCAAACCCAACCATTTATTAATCTCTAGGGTTTAGTGGGTTCCCCCTCAATCTATAACAATAGTGTGTGCACAGCTGTCAACTTTCAGATTTGAAAATAAGGGATCAGCAGCCTCTCCTGTCCTGGGGACAGTCTACGGGATATCTAACAATCTGGGATAGCAGTGGGAAGCAGCGGGAAACGGCGCTGGAATAAGGGAATTTCCCGCAAAAAAGGGGAAGGTTGACAGCTATGATTGTGTGTAATGTTGTAACTAAGGTAATTCCAAAGGGAATGTCAAGCAGGGAGGGAGGGACGAAGAGAGAGAGAGGAATTCTGGTGGAGAGAGAAGATTGGAGGAGGCTTGGAAAGGGAGTTCGAATGTTGGGGGGAGGCAGTTGAGAGTGTTGAGAGTGGTGGGTTCTAGAAGGGGGGCTCTTGGTGGGGGACCTGAAGCTAGGCTGGGCTTAGGATCAGTTGGAAAGTCGACGTTGCCAGGGGCATGTGGCAAAGAGGGGCTCTGCCAGCTGCCTGGGAACAGAGTTCCCTGAATTTAGGTGAGCCACAGAGCCGGGCTTGGCTTGTATTCCTAATGCCCAGATGCCTCGCACCACCCCCTCCAAGCACCTGGGAAGCAGCTGAGTCCTCCTGCAAAACATAAGCCAGGGTCTCTAAATTTATGTCCCTGACATTTCCCATCTGTAACATCTTCCTCTGTTTTTATTTTCCTTTCTGTCTCCCAAATCCTAAGCCAGGCAGCTGTGGCGCCATGAAGAAAAATGTTGATCACGTCTCCTACCTAGGAAGTTATCTTTCCACAAGGGCCAACATTGATGCCAAAATCCAGCATCACCTGAGTTCTGTGAGTGTGGCTTTCTCCCGACTGAAGTGCAGAGTGTTTGAGGACCGGGACATTCGCAGGGAAACCAAAATGCTTGTTTACAAAGTACTACAAAGGTACTACCAACCTTACTATATGTTTGTGAAACATGAACCACTTATAAATGCCAACTCCTTGAAAGAGTCCATCAACAGTGTCTCTGAAAAATTTTACACATCACTTGGGAAGACAGGCGAACTAATATCAGTGTACTGGAAGAAGCAAAGATCACCAGTGATGAAGCAATGATTCTTCAACATCAACTTCGTTGGACTGGTCATGTTGTGCGGATGCCTGGTGATCGTCTTCCAAAGCAACTACTCTATTCTGAACTTAAAAATGGAAAGTGTAATGCTGGTGGTCAACAAAAGAGGTTTAAAGACTATCTTAAGGCAAATCTAAAAAAATGTAGTATAAACACTGACAACTGGGAAACACTGGCTTGCGAGCGCTCCAGTTGGAGAACAGCCTTTACCAAAGGTGTCACGGGTTTTGAAGACACTCGAACTCAGGACGCAAGGGAGAAACGTGCTAAGAGGAAGGCTTGCTTGGCAAATCCACACCGTGATCAACTCCCGCCCGGGAACCAATGTCCCCACTGTGGAAGGACGTGTGGATCCAGAATTGGCCTCCACAGTCACTTACGGACTCATTGTTAAAACCGTGTTTATGGAAGACAATCTTACTCGGCTACGAGTGATCGCCAAAGAAGAAGATGAAGAAATGGCAGAAGGGGAGGCCGCTGTGGAAGTTGTGGTATGTTAATTCCATGAGAAATTTATTCCTCACATGTGCCAGGAGGTTGTGGTGCCAACCTGAGTGAAACAGGGTTGGGGGGGGGGAGCAGGCCCATCTCTCCCCAGCCCTTCGCCCCCTCCTTCCAAGCCAGGGTTGGGCCATTATGTGCCCAGGCAGGAGCAGCGATCATTGGCAGCCAGTGGTGACGTGGGCATGGGCATCATGGCAGGGGGGCTTGTTCTGCCCCTCTCCTTCCCTGAGTCAGCTGGCCATGCACCCTCACCAGCGCTCAGGTTGTCTCCGCTGTAGTTTGGGGGCAGGTCCCTCTGGGGGCCCTATGTCCCCACCGCAGGAGGGCCCTGCCTCCGCTGGCTTGCCTTCCCCTGCGCTGCTGCTGAGCTACTATGTGCCACGCAGGAGGAGGGATATAGTGGGGGGTGGGGAGCAGGAAGGAAGCTGGGAAGGCAGATGGGGGGGAGAGAAAACATTGAGGGGACTGTGCCCCAGAGGAAAATCATTGGGGAGTGCCCACAGGACCCCTGTCCCCTAGAATGGATGCCTATGCCAGGAGAATACAATGTCCTTCTTCCTTCGCAGGGCCATGGTTTGGGAAAGGCTCCGGCCAAGCAGCAGCCCAGCGGCGCCATGGGGAAACCCCAAATGTGCAGGTATGCTGGGACCTTCTGTGGCAGAGGAAGTGTTTCCCAGTCACCTTGCCAGCTGGAGGAGGAAGGCCTGATTTAGATATTCCTATAGTTTTACGGGGAGGGTTTCTCTGTGGTCCACCTGGGCAGGACATGGGGGGTGATTCTCTCCCATGCCAACCCCATATCCCAAGGCTGGGCCGGGGCAGTTTTAGGATGGCACGACCAGTGTGCTCACACTGGGCACCGCGCTGCAGAGAGTGCCAAAACAATGCTGAAGAACAAAGGGGGCGTGCCGAATCCTATGGTCGTACAGGGCTCTGTTGACATTTGAGAGCCCAAAGTTCACCCTTGGTTGGGCACAGTTCCAGATTAATACCTGTGGCAGTCAAAATATTGCTGGTCTCCTCGCAAATTATCTCCTGATACCTTTTTGATTTTACCAGCCAACAATATTAATAAACCAATTTTATTACGGAAAACAGTATTCATTTTAATCTGTTGTCACGGGACCCATAGGCCGGTTCCTGCTCTGCCCATTGGGCAATGTGGCTCTGGTTGGGAATGCTTCTGTGGAGATGAAACGCGCCCCCCCCCCCAATCATTCTTTCCTTCAGACAAAAGCTGACATGGTGTGTGGAACTGGACCAGGGGAAGAAGTGGCTCTCCTTGCCTTCTTAGCTCATATCTTTCTCTAATTTCTGCATCCCATGAAAACGTCCTTCCTGAGATTCTAGCCAACATCAACCAGTAGTCTCAGCTACCATAATGAACCTTAGAATAAAAGAGATACATGTTATTATCTATAGATTTATCTTGAAATCCTCCAACCAATCAGACTAACTGAGCTTGTTTCTTCCTTAGGAGAGAGGCCGGCCAGAACAAGGGGGGAAAGGCTCCCACTCCAGTTAAGTGGAAATGCCAGTTGAGTGCCCTATATGATAGAAATGCTTCCTTTCCGTTTCCCCCCTCCCTCATGTACCAGTCTGATGCTAGCACGTTGGGAACCAGGCGCTTGCTGATTGCTCTGTTATTTTTGCAGGGAGGGAGCCTTCCCCCAAAGTATACCTTGTTCTCGCCAAATCCCTGGAGAGACGTGAGGACCCTCAGGTACTGGGGCAGAGGGAAGGAAGGGGTCTCCGAGGAGTCTGCCTGCCTCCTCCCCCTCAGCCGCCCTACAGCTGAGGGGAAGGCAGCGGGCAGACCGTTTGGGGCAGCATGGAGCCTATGGGCGCCCAAGCCACTGCGTCACTCCCAGGAGAGATGTGTGGCTCGGGCACGCTGCAGGCCCCGCGGTGAGTGCCACTGTTAACAACCATTCCACCTGTCCTTGGCCACACTGTCCTTGTGGCTCTAAGCCCCAGAGTAGGCATTCTGTGGGAATGTTGAGGAAAGCCAAAGAGGATATATTGATTAAATATTATCCCTCCACATGCTAGTGAGCAAGTAGCAGAGCACATTCCGTTCCACACTGCTGGAAGCAAGTTGATGGATTCGTTAGAATCATTTAAGTTAAGCAATCCAGTCTGGCTTGTCCAGATTGGATTGTTCCTGGTAAACTTCCCCTTTAGGGGAAGGTAAAGGGACCCCTGACCATTAGGTCCAGTCATGGCCGACTCTGGGGTTGCGGCGCTCATCTCGCTTTATTGGCCGAGGGAGCCGGCGTACAGCGTCCGGGTCATGTGGCCAGCATGACTAAGCCGCTTCTGGCGAACCAGAGCAGCGCACGGAAACACCGTTTACCTTCCCGCCGGAGTGGTACCTATTTATCTACTTGCACTATGTGCTTTTGAACTGCTAGGTCGGCAGGAGCAGGGACCGAGCAACAGGAGCTCACCCCATTGTGGGGATTCAAACCGCCGACCTTCTGATCGGCAAGTCCTAGGCTCTGTGGTTTAACCCACAGCGCCACCCGCATCCCTTAATTTCCCCTTTAGTACCCTATTAAAAACAATAATGACACAACAGTCTTCTTTTAAAAGTAATGATAAAGTTTACTTACATTCAGTTCACAGTATTGTCCTGAAGGCAGGCTTTATCTTGTAGTTACAGTTACAGTTGTAGAGAAAAGAGGTCTGAGCTAGACCTCAGACTTTCTACCTTGTGGCTTCCATCCTCTGTAAGGACGAGCCATGTGCTGCTGGCTAAGAGCCAGAAGAGAGGAAGATAGCTGCATGGCTAGCCGTTTTATAGGGTCTGCCAGGGTCAGGCCCATCTACCTGGTCACACACAGGGGGATGAGACTCCAGAGCAGGTATGACAGGAAGTCCTCCCTGTCTGAAGCCACATTCTTCTGAGTGTCCACTCTAGGCAACAGGAAATGTTGTATTTGACTGCTACGGTGATGATACATCCCACACATTCATTTAGAACAGGTGTGCAATTTCCCCCTGGATACTAAGTGCTTATCCTGACTTCTGTTTGCACCATGCCTTCCAGGCACAGGTCTGCACTTTAAAGCAGGGGGGCGGGGGAGGCACTTCCCCAGGGAAAATCCATGTTTTACTGCTGAATCAGATCAATTCACAGAATCCACAGAAAACTTGATTGTCATTTGCTCCAGTTCAGGGGGAAACAAAACAACAACAATACTCAGACATAGAGCTTTAAAGCATGCGTAGGCAAACTAAGGCCCGGGGGCTGGATCTGGCCCAATCGCCTTCTAAATCCGGCCCGCAGATGGTCCAGGAATCAGTGTGTTTTTATGAGTAGAATGCGTCCTTTTATTTAAAATGCATCTCTGGGTTATTTGTGGGGCATAGGAATTCGTTCATTTCCCCCCCAAAATATAGTCCGGCCCCCCACAAGGTCTGAGGGACAGTGGACCGGCCCCCTGCTGAAAAGGTTTGCTGACCCCTGCAGTTTAAAGTATGGTCCTGTACCGAGAAATGCGCCCCAAAAGGAAGTCTGGATGAGCCCTTAAGACACGGATTTCCAAGTATATAATCATCTGGAGTGGAATTCATCCATATTTGGGGAAGCAGAGGAGTTGCTGAACTTGCACAGGAATGGCCATCTGCATCACTGTCGCTATTCCTCCTTCCTGAATCTAATATACCGTTTGGGGTTGTGCGCCAGAAATTACATGCTTGGCTTCTAAGGGCTAGTTCATATATATGCACATCACTTGCTTCACCCACAGTCCATACTTATGTATGAAGCTCCTATATACGTACACACATACATGCACACACTTGTAATCATAGGTGGTCATCAAGTGATGAAGGTCTGTTGAATAAAAAGCAAATACAGCGGTACCTCAGGTTACATACACTTCAGGTTACATACGCTTCAGGTTACAGACTCCGCTAACACAGAAATAATGCTTCAGGTTAAGAATTTTGTTTCAGGATGAGAACAGAAATTGTGCTCCGGCGGCGCGGTGGCAGCAGGAGGCCCCATTAGCTAAAGTGGTGCTTCAGGTTAAGAACAGTTTCAGGTTAAGAACAGACCTCCGGAACAAATTAAGTACTTAACCCGAGGCACCACTGTATTGCCGTAATTTAGCTTTGAGTCATGCAGGCCTGCAACATTCTCCCAGCTGCATTCGCGCTGGTTGCTCTCCTGGCAGAATAAATCTTGAAAACATTCACATGCTCACCAAGGAATGTTCACCTCGTAAGAAGCGTCACCTTGCATACTTTTCTGTCTCATAAACTTGAAGGTCAAATGAAACATTCATTGACAAATACAGAATATGAAACAGTCTCAAATCCATGTGCTAACAGCCCACGAAAGGCAAACAGATGGGGCAGTGAGTCATGCGCCCTCCGTTTATGGATCTTTGGGGACTTTTAAGGCAAAGCCCTGTGCTGGTCACTGAAAGGGGAGTATTCATGTTCATTTAATTCAGATTTCCATTCATAGAGGGTTAGCTGGGGAAGTAATTTGATTGCCAGCATATAATGGTAGAGTGAAGAGCTGCAATTTAAAAATGAAAATGCAGTCTCTAAGACCTTAGTAACAGTGAGGATGCTTTCTGGATTCAGCTAAAGCAATGGCGAACTTTTTCCATTTTGCCAGTATCCTTTTTACGGATTTTCTTCCATGGTAAAAATTATACATTCCAAAAAAAATACAGAAGAAACAAAAGATTTCCAAACCAAAAGACTGGTTTATTTACCAAATAAACAAATATATATAAACCCTTAAATTCCTAAAGAAGACTTGTATTATTTAAATATTTTTGTTAATTCACAATTACTTAATTTCTCCATGTGACTTCCAACCTCCTCACTGAGGGTTCATCCTTTTTTTATTCTTATTATTATCACTGCTTCCATATTCCTTCTCTCCATTTCTTTCTTTATTCTATCTCATGTGTTATTTATCTAACTTGCAAATTGAGGAGTTTAGTCAAAGCATGTCCAGGTTTTCACTTGTGGACAATGTTTAATTAAATATTCTTTATAAATTCCCCATCCTTTTTTTTTTTTTACCTTCGAGTTGGCTGTCTCCTAATTGTCTCTGTCAATTTTGCTAATTCGAGATATTCAAACAATTTCTCCTGCCATTCCTCTTTTGATGGTATCATTTCACCTTTCCATTTTTTGGCGATCAGTATTCTTGCTGCTGTTGCGGCATATAAGAATATTCTTCTTTTTTCCTTAGGAATCTCTGGTCCCAATATTCCCAAGAGGAAGAAGGCTTCTGGTTCTTTTGTGAAAGTTTGTTTGAACATTTTTTAAAATTTCCTCGTTTATCATATCCCAATTTTTTCAAATTTTAATGCAGCCCCACCACATATGAACTTCTTCCATTTTGATTTCTCTTCTGAGAAATCCCTGTACATGGATCACAGAGACTTTAATGCCAAAAAGGATCCTACTGGTTCTTTCTCACAGGCCTGGCTCCAGATTTGGGTGGGCCCTGAGCAGGTTGCTTATCCTTCCAAGTGTCCTGATTTTCCAGGGACAGTCCCAGAATTACAAAAGCAATCCTGGCTTCTGATTGGATCCTGGAATGTCCCTATTTCCCCTGCCAGCACCACTGCCACCAAGCTCAAGGAGGAAGATGAGCCAACACTTGTCCGGAGCGACGGCAGTGATGGCAGTGGTGCCTGTGCAAGAGTATCGCGTTACTTCTCCATAGTCTCTCCATGGCTGTCGCTGCTGGTCCCTGGAGCAGCTCCTGGTTGCTCTCCTCTGCACATGTTCCAGCTTGTCAACATCCTTCTTAAATTGTGGTGTCCAGAATTGGACACAGGATTCCAGGTGTGGTTTGACCAAGGCAGAATAGAGGTGTACTATTACTTCCCTTGATCTGGACACTCAGGGTCGTCTTAAGCATATCCAGTGCTGTGATGCAAAGCTCCCTCCAGCGCCTCCCCCACCACCGTTTCCCAGAGTTTTTTAGGGAGGACGGCGTTGCCGGCGGGGCTGGAGGAGGCGGGCAGCAGCTAGAGGGTGGCTCCTCCAGCGGGGAAGAGGCGGAGGCTGGACACACGGTGCCTCCTGGTTCAGCTGGCCGCTTCGTGCCGTGGTGGCCATGGCAGATGGAGGCTCCGGGCGTGGCGCACCTTCAGTGTGGCATGGCGGAGGCGGGCAAGCTGATGCCAGGAGACGCCACATCCAGCCTCCACCTCTTCCCTGGTGCCCTATAGAACCTGGTGCCCTGGCACCCCGCGCCACTAGCCTCTATGGGTAAGACGCCCCTGACTATGTTGCTGCGGATGCAGCCTAGAATAGTGTTAGCTTTCTTCTTGCTGCTGCATCACACTGTTGACTCATGTTAAGCTTGCGGTCAAGGGAGATGGCCTTAAATTCATAATACAATCAGGATTTATGACCTGGTGAAAAATTGTATACTAAACCAGGTAACTGATGAATTTCAGAATCCCTGCACTCTGCTTCAATGGGCACAAAACACTTGTTCCACTTTAGGGAGGGATAGGCTTTCATACAGGCAACTCTCAACTTTCTGGGCATCCATCCTCCACTGTGAGCATGTGCTTCCTGTACTCATTAAATTTATTTTTGAAAGCATCCTTGCATGGTCAGGCTACTCAAGTGTGTGTGTGTGTGTGTGTGTGTGTGTGTGTGTGTATACGTCTACGGTGGGAGATCTAGCATATGTGCCTTTCCCTCCATATCCACATGTATACAAGATTGGGATCTTGGCTTTTCCACCTTTGAATTTTCCTAGCTGACAGTATAATATATCAATGTCATCCTGAGAGGGTAGCTTGACAACAAACAAAGTAGTGGTAAGCAAAATAGACATCAGATATTTTTGCATCCATTTCTATGTGTAAATGAACCCGCCAGACTAGCTTTGGCTCTTATTTACGCTGTTGCTGACTTGCAGAAGTGGCTCTTCCATGAGGTGGGAGCCTCCACGGGTGGATTTTTCAGCACCAGCTCAGGCCGCAGAGAGGGAGGCTCAGTTGCCAAATGAGACACAGTCCATTTGGAAGTTCTCTTTTGAAAGCCCCAGTGAAGTGTGAGCAGTTTATTTCAGTGAGGTTTGTGCAGGACAACTGTGCAGGGGTTTTGTGACGCTCCTTGTTACTTTATGGAAGAGCTGTGCCCTCTTAATTTTGGGGTCTTACTAATATAGTGGTACCTCGGGTTACAAACATTTCAGGTTACAGACTCCGCTAACCCAGAAATAGTGCTTCAGGTTAAGCACTTTGCTTCAGGATGAGAACAGAAATCGTGCTCCGGCGGCGCGGCAGCAGCAGGAGGCCCCATTAGCTAAAGTGGTGTTTCAGGTTAAGAACAGTTTCAGGTTAAGTATGGACCTCCAGAACGAATTAAGTACTTAACCTGAGGTACCACTGTACGTATAAAGTTTGTTGCTGAATTTCACCTTTTGTGATTTCTGATTAGGTGAATCATTAAGGAATTTTGACCGAGGAAAGAAGAGTCTCTCTCTCTCTCTCTCTCCCTCTACACACACACACACATACACACACACTCTGTGGGGGTCATTGCATCCCTAGTAAGCTTTAGATTCCTGCTACGTACTGTATTCTCAGTAAACCTTTCACTACAATTTAGGCCTCTACACTAACCATCATAACTAAAAGGTTTCCTGTGACCTTCTGACTTTGTTTCACAAAGAAGCAACAACCAACATGCCATTAGCTTCACAATGAAGCTTGTTACCTAATACCTGCCTGGATATGATCACAGCAAAACAACCCTCAGTTGCTGCTTTTGCCCCTTAGGTTGGCTGGAGGGTATGCATGGCAACAACTCGAGAAAGACAAAAATGCATTTCCAAAGGGAGAGACTCTAATCTTATTCCTCAACCCAGTAACATTGGCCAACTTGGATCACCCCTGCCTTGAAGAACAACCTTAAACCTTCACGCACAAGGCAGAGCTGATGTCTTTCTGAGCATGTGCGGATGAACTGTAGTCAAGATAACAAAGGAGCATCAAAAGAGGAGAGTTGCTTGGACAATTGTGTGTGTGTGTGTGTGTGTGTGTGTGTGTGTGTGTAAGAGCCTGCTTGAAGGCAGCATCTTTGGTCACCAGCTTTGAATACTCCAGAAGCAGTGACAGGCTTCTTGCCATTTGCTCCTAGGTTGGCCATCTAGCTGCAGCCAAAGCAATCTAATGGTACGTCTGTAATGGAAATGGCATTTCACTATAGCCATAAAAACTTGACCTCAGTACAAAAACTATGTACCAGCCCAATTTAATCCCTTCCACAACTTGGGAGGTATTAAAGCTTCACAATGATAATTGTTGGGAAACAGCTACATTTGCAAAGAAAAGAAAAGAAAAGAAAAGAACGCCTTCCTTTAACCTCAAACTTCAGAATGGCTCAGCTAATTTTGCTTGAATGTCATAGAAAGAAGAGAAAAATTATCTGCCTGAGGCAGACATAAAGGCATGAAAAAAATTCACTCAAATACTTAGAAAGTAACACAAGCAGGGAAAATAGCACCAGGGCTTTAGACTAGTAAGAGTGAGGCAAATTGAACCATAATAGCAGTTAAAAACAAAACAAAAGACAAAAAAATGTACCTGTAAGACTAGATATAGATATAGATATAGATATAGATATAGATATAGATATAGATATTGGATTTATTATGGTATTATGGATATTTAAAGGTAAAGGTAAAGGCACCCCTGCCCATACGGGCCAGTCGTGTTCGACTCTAGGGTTGTGCGCCCATCTCACTTAAGAGGCCGGAGGCCAGCGCTGTCCGGAGACACTTCCAGGTCACATGGCCAGCGTGACAAAGCTGCTCTGGTGAGCCAGCACCAGCGCAGCACACGGAAACGCCGTTTACCTTCCTGCTATAAAGCGGTACCTATTTATCTACTTGCACTTAGGGGTGCTTTCGAACTGCTAGGTGGGCAGGAGCTGGGACCGAAAGACGGGAGCTCACCCCGCCGCGGGGATTCGAACCACCAACCATACGATCGGCAAGTCCTAGGCACTGAGGTTTTACCCACAGCGCCACCCGCCACCCTATGGATATTTAGGAGTCAAATAATTGAAAACACAGTTTGACAAGCGTCATGATAAGAAAAGCCCTCTCTTCGTGACCCCATGGACCAGAGCACGCCAGGCACTCCTGTCTTCCACTGCCTCCGGCAGTTTGGTCAAATTCACGTTGTTAGCTTTGAGAACACTGTCCAACCATCTTGTCCTCTGTCGTCTCCTTCTCCTTGTGCCCTCCATCTTTCCCAACATCAGGGTCTTTTCCAGGGAGTATTTTCTTCTCATGAGGTGGCCAAAGTATTGGAGCCTCAGCTTCAGGATCTGTCCTTCCAGTGAGCACTCAGGGCTGATTTCCTCCAGAATGGATAGGTTTGATCTTCTTGCAGTCCATGGGACTCTCAAGAGTCTCCTCCAGACCATAATTCAAAAGCATCAATTCTTTGGCGATCAATCTTCTTTATGGTCCAGCTCTCACTTCCATACACCACTACTGGGAAAACCATAGCTTTAACTATACAGACCTTTGTTGGCAAGGTGATGTCTCTGCTTTTTAAGATGCTGTCTAAGTTTGTCATTGCTTTTCTCCCAAGAAGCAGGCGTCTTTTAATTTCGTGACTGCTGGCACCATCTGCAGTGATCATGGAACCCAAGAAAGTAAAATCTCTCACTGCCTCCATTTCTTCCCCTTCGATTTGCCAGGAGGTGATGGGCCCAGTGGCCATGATCTTAGTTTTTTTTATGTTGAGCTTCAGACCATATTTTGCACTCTCCTCTTTCACCCTCATTAAAAAGTTATTTAATTCCTCCTCACTTTCTGCCATCAAGGTTGTGTCATCTGCATATCTGAGGTTGTTGATATTTCTTCCAGCATTCTTAATTTCGGCTTGGGATTCATCCAGTCCAGCCTTTCGCATGATGAATTCTGCACATAAGTTAAATAAGCAGGGAGACAATATACAGCCCTGTCATACTCCTTTTTCCAATTTTGAACCAATCAGTTTGTTCCATATCCAGTTCTAACTGTAGCTTCTTGTCCCACATAGAGATTTCTCAGGAGACAGATGAGGTGATCAGGCACCACCATTTCTTTAAGAACTTGCCATAGTTTGCTGTGGTCGACACAGTCAAAGGCTTTTGCATAGTCAATGAAGCAAAAGTAGATTTTTTCCGGAACTCTCTAGCTTTCTCCATAATCCAGCATATGTTTGCACTTTGGTCTCTGGTTCCTCTGCCTCTTCTAAATCCAGCTTGCCCTTCCGGGAGTTCTCGGTCCACATACTGCTTAAGCCTCCCTTGTAGAATTTTAAGCATAACCTTGATAGCGTGTGAAATGAGTGCAATTGTGCGGTAGTTGGCGCATTCTTTGGCACTGCCCTTCTTTGGGATTGGGATGTAGACTGATCTTCTCCAATCCTCTGGCCACTGCTGAGTTTTCCAAACTTGCTGGCACATTGAGTGTAGCACCTTAACAGCATCATCTTTAAAAAAATTTAAAAGTTCAGCTGGAATACCATCACTTCCACTGGCCTTGTTATTAGCAGTGCTTTCTAAGGCCCTATTTTAGGCCAAATATGTTTTGGCTATGAGACGATTCCCCAGTAAAGATTGTACTAGGTTTTACTGAATCCAGGGGGACATTCTGAACTCTAGGCATAAGATTGTCATTTATGATTACTAGTGTGGGCCTATTCAGGGATTTCATAGGTTTACATTTAAAATGTGAAGTGTGGGTGTGCAAACCTGATGTTTTAAAATACAGGTATCTGACAGTTACACTCACTAGAGAGCAACCTAGGGTGCCAACCTGAATAAAATATGGGCCCAGGTATGCCCCACGCAGTGCACACACACCATTTGAATGGGAATGCCCATCAACTTTGTGAGGGCCTGGCCCCCTCAAATATATTATTGTGGGGGCCAAAGTGCCCCCGGCCCCTAGGAGTTGGCTCCTACGCTAGAGAGCCAGAATTGATGGTTGAGAAACCTTGATGAGAAACCAGGATCTCTTGCTGTATAGTTTTTTAAAAACAGAAAATGCCTGAAATAGCTAAATCAATATGCACCTCCATAAACTTGGTTGCTAGCTTTGATCACTTTATATATTAAATGAATATTGATGAAAACGTCTGGCTTTTCTGCATTGATCCAGATACAGTCCATATCGCTTGCTAAATGAAAACTTGAATATCCAAATGGATACTTCATGTGTGGTTCTTGAGCCTGAGGTAATGACCAAGCATGTCAATCCCACTGATCATCTGTTCAGGACAGGGGGGCCAACTTGCCCCCCACATTAACCTCCCAAGCTTGTTGCAGCCGCTGCCTGGCTTCTGGGCTGCCGGGCAGAGGCTTAGGCGCGTGGAGGGTGCCTGGCAGTGGTGGGGGCAGTGCCCCCCTAAATATTGGGGGGATGCTGCCCCCTGTCCTGCCCCAAAATTTTGGGGGAGCTGAATCCCCCTCTGCCCCCTATATCTGGCGCCACTGGTTGAAGAAGAGAGAAACTGGATTCCATCTGCTCCACTCCCTTCTCCCCCCCAACAACTGTTTGGTGGGATTTCAGACTTGCCCCCCTTAAGGGCTGTGTGTAGCATGCATCGTAACAGGCTAGAAAGAGCAGTGATGGGGGTAAATCTATTCAATCTGCATATATGGATAAACCTACTGAATTTGCACTTCTTAAGACAATCGATAAATTTCCATGAGGTTCAGAGCAAAGTGCAGGGTCAGCGAAACATGAGTAAACAACCAAATAAAAAAGTCTTACTTGTTTCTTAAAGCCAGCCACAGTAGGAGCGGCCCATGTTTCCCAAGGGTGGGGGTTTCAGAATCAAGAGGCCGCTACCAAAAATCCCTTGCCCCATTTCACAGACCCTCCAAGTGTCCCTTTTTTCCAAGGACAGTCCCAGATTTACGGACGCCGTCCCGGTTTCTGATTTGATCCTGGAATGTCCTGCTTTTTGTTAGGATGTCCCTATTTTCGTCAGAGAAATGTTGGAGGAGATGGGGGTTATGTGCTCCTCAAGCCAAGGAGATATAACCTTTAGACGACATCTGAAGGCAGCCCTGTATAGGGAAGTTTTTTCTAAAGTTTAATGTTTTATTATGTTTTTATATATGCTGGAAGCCACCCAAGATGGCTGGGGCAACCCAGTCAGATGGGCGGGGTATAAATATTATTATTATTATTATTATTATTATTATTATTATTATGTTTAGTCATTTAGTCGTGTCCGACTCTTCGTGACCCCCTGGACCAGAGCACGCCAGGCACTCCTGTCTTCCAGTGCCTCCCGCAGTTTAGGACATCCCTATTTTTATCGGAGAAATGTTGGAAGGTTTGATGTCACCATTGCCCTAGCATCTTGTAGAGATGGGATCATTAGAGCTTCTCCAGCGGACTTCAGGGCAGTAGACAGGCATACAGGGAGAGGCATTATTTTAGGAACCTGGAGCTCAGGAAGGGGCACCGACTTACCTCTCACATTGCGAGGACCCAGAGTCATGTGACGTCATTCATAATGTCACGTGCGCCCCCCCTCCCCGCACATCCCACCACGCCCTCCGGTGCACGACTGCTCACCCAGCAGCGGGGTCTGAGGCACGGGGTGGGTGATATTCACCATCCACGCATCCCACCCCTGCCAGCTCCCGAACACTCACCCAGCGGCGGCAGGGAATAGTGGCCCCTCAATATTTGGGGGGGGCCCTCAGCTCCCCCCAAGATGTTAAACGACAGCTAAATGGTCATTTAAATTTCCACTCCCCATGACCTAGATGATAAATTGCTGAACACTCAAGAATATATAACAGAGGGAAATATGGGCATCACAAACCATTACTTGCTTTGTGTCTTGGTGTAGAAACTGGCTAAAAATAAACTTTGCTGAATGAAAGTTGAGTAGTTGGGATCAGTCCCCCACCAGCCTTAGGAGGAAGAATGAGTAACTCTGTCTGATTTCGGTGTGAGCTGTTCATCTCCAGGGTGAAGGAAATATGGATCACAAATTTCTGAATGCTTTAAAATAAACAAATGACTGTGAGGACTTAGCCTCAGCCAAATCACCTCACCCCTCACATTTCTCTTTAGGCCAAGCTGGCCCAAGACCATTTGCCACCTGAAGGAGAAAAAGAAATGGCATCCCTGCTCATGTCACGGTTCCTGGTAAGCGAGAATGGTCAAGTTATACTAGCACGTGATGTAGAAAATTTCACAATTGCCTCTCCTTGGGAGTAAAACTACTACCACTACCACCATTTATTACTGTTATTATTATTCAGACTAATTGCTGCCTTTTCATGACACCCAAAATCAGCTGTTTGAGGCAGCTGCTTCACTCTGACCAGTGGCAGGACTGACCCTGTGTTTATCATCTAAGTGCTATCATATTTATTATTATTTTTTAAATGATATTTATTGAAAATTTTAAAATTACAAAAGAGAACAAAAAAGAAAAAAAGAAAGAAAAAACAAAGAAAAGACAAACCACAGTCAAACAATACAGATTAATAAAAATCAAAATCAAAAAATAACACGACACAATTAAAAAACAAAAATATACCACAAACATTTTTTAAAAATTCCAATATTCTCATATCTTTAACTGTCATTACCTTCTTTCTTTGACCTCCTCCTCCTCCCTTTTTTTGTATCCTGATTATTAATTGTCACAGCAAATCCTTTCCATATTTCATAATATTCTGTCATTACTTTACCTTAATCTATTTTAATCTTATCTTACTATGAAAACCTTAAAACTTAAAACTTAAATCTTATTTTTACCAATTTCTCATAACCATAACATATTCTTACATAATTCTTTAAACATTTTTGCTAAAGCCAAATAATTTCGTTCCAACATTTTTCTAACATTCATCAATTTTATAAAAAAATCATAATAAAAGAAATAACAATCCAATCTTCATCCAGCGTCTCTTCCTCCTAGACCCGGGTTTTGTCAGTCCTTTCTATCCCATCAATCTAGCGCATTAACCTGGTAACCTTATGTCCGAGGCCCTTAAGTCTCTTCCATGTCCCTTCCGCAGCTCTTCTTCATATTTATAGCTATATTTTCTTTTATCTCCTACTTCTTTCACTCTTGGGAACTCCAGCTTGACAATGCTTTTGACCCTTCTTGACAAATCAGCCCCTTTTCCATAGTCCCCACTAAGCTCCATGTGGTATTTAAGAACATGTTTCAAAGACCCTCCAAAATTGAGAGCCCCCACAACCCCAAACATCTCACGGCCCATTGCTAGACTCGAAAAGTCCAAACCTCCCTGCATAGGGGGGTCTATCCAACCCCCCATTTCCAAACCAAACCAAACTTTATCTTTCCAAATCTGGCTTTTTCCAAATTCATTTGTCAAATCCAAGAATTCATGTTCCTGCTGGGCCGCAGCTCCCTCCATCCCTGGCGCCCAAGATTCAGCAACATCCTCTTCCCTCATCTGTTCTGTCAGGGCACACTCCTGATCTAATTCCTGGGTGGGCTCTATATAATATCCCACTGACTGTCCAAAATTTCTAATCGCATCAGTCATAAAATCCGTCTTCTCATGTAGCTGTTCCAGTAGGGCACTTGTTTTACAGAAAGCACTCAACAGAGCTTCTGAATACATTGTCCTGCAAGGTCAGAAGTCTATTCCCACGATCGTAATCTGTAACAGCTGCGAGCTTCCCGATTCAAAATTGGTTACAGTTTCACAGGCTCCCTCTAGGGGAAAAACTTCTGCTTGTTCTTTTCTTTTAAAAACAAATCTAACAACAAAGTTTCCTTTTTCAGATATTTTGTCAATATTTGTTCCTTTAAAATGCGAAGGGGAACAATGGAATCACTATGTATCTCTTCCTTTAGCTATCTGTCAAAAACGTTTGTCTCTGGCCAATGAGCTTCAAAGAACGTCAGTCCTGACACCCCGCTCCAGGATCAAGACAGTGGAAAGTTACTTTACTTTACACTCACTTCTGCAGGTTTAAACAGTCCAGAAAAAATCCCCCCCTCTTCTCCTGCTTCCGAAGGGGGTTCCACAATTTTAAATGATGAAAGTTAATCCTTTAGAAGCGATTTTCAGAACTTTAGTTTGCTGTGTCTTTGCTTTAATCTATCTACAAAGAAACGGAAGGCTGACTTCCTGTTTAAACCTTCCCGTTTCAGTGCCAAATTAAATTAAACTTTTAAGTCCAGTTTTCCTTTCTGCTCGCAAATCCTTATTTAGAGTCCAATTGTCCGAAACTTAAGTACTCATGGGTGGTTGTTTTAAAAGCCAAATTGTCCCAGGAAAAGGCAGTGCTCTCCGGCAACGGCTGTGCGGCTTCGCTCCACGCAATAAGCAGTTGCCTCTCAGCACGGCGCCCCGTGCCCCTCCTCGCTCCGGAGCCCGTTAGTGGGTTCCTTTGCGGGTTGGGGGGGCGCTAAAGGTGCCCGCTGAGTCCCATGGTCACAGGCTTCATCCGCCTGTGATTTTTGAATGGGTCCCCGCTTCGCCGTAGCGGAAAAGACCCGATTCCCGTGGAGCTGGTCCCTCCATTCAGAGGGAATCCGCCATTGCCGATGGCGCCACCCCGGAAGTCTAAGATGATGTTTATCATCGCTGCTATTTTTCTAGAAAAAGAGGTGCCGGAACTCACCCTGAACACCTCTCTCATTTTTTTAGAATGGCAATGATGCCCACCTGATAGGTGCTGGAACTGAGTCCTGGCGAGTTCTGGCTGAAAAAAAGCCCTGGTCATCAGTAGTTTAGACTATGCAATCTGAGCTATACAAATCATAAATTGCTGGATTTACCGATGAGTTGAAATCTGCCCCCTCATGACGCTTGAACAGTTTTCTTCCTGCCTTCCTAGCTTAGGTCACTTCCAATATTGGAATTCCAGGCACGAATTCTAGGCATCCCAAGAAGGGCTCCCTCTCCTCAGCCACGGCATTCAGTACCTCTGAGGGATAAACACAATGTTAAGCCAGTTCCCTCTGAATTCACTTCTTCATATTCAAAAAGTTATCTGAAAAACTGCTCTATCTTCAAGAATAGCTGGAATGACAGAGGCTTGAAAAAAGAATCTGATAGTCCAGAGCATTAACATCTTTGAACCCTTGGCGCTTCAGAAATCCAAAAGAGGCAAATCACATTAAAGCCTGCATTTCGGCTAGTGACAAAACCAAGCAGGAGCAAATTCCAACCAATCTCATTTTCAAGCAAAGCAGTTTCAGATAGTGATGAGGCTGAATACTGAATAGCTGTTGATGTGATATTCGTTCCAGCAGGGAAAGCCCCTGGGCACTGAATTCTTTACTTCAAAATACACTATTTTGTTTGAGCAAATTGCTTAATGGAACTCTTTCTAAAAAGAATTCTGTTACCCAAGCACACTAAGGCAAAATGTTTGTATCAGGTTTGAAAGTTGAAAGCTTGTTGGATTCTAAAAAGATAATTTAATTCATACTAGCGATGAAAGAGGATTACCAGAAGCCTACAATGCCTAGCTGATACTCTAGACAAGTTTCCCCCAAAGTGTTACCTGTGGGGCCACCTGCAGAGACATCCCACTGCACCCACAAGTCACTGTCAATCCTTCACTCTTATTGGGGTACACTAACAGCAACCCCCACTGGGTTGAAAGGGATTTTTTCCTTCTTTCTAACGTCAATTTTAGGGTTTGCATATTCCGCCTTCAGAGCAGCAGTTTTGCCTGTGTAATAGCTGTTTCGTGGCCCAAGAAAGAAGAAGAAACACACACACAGAATTACATTTTTAAAAATACAAGCAAGGGTGAATAAGGGCCATTGCTACATCACTGTTATGTTAGGTTTGCCATATCTTGAAGCGCAAAAAAGAGGACAGCTTGAGCCACTGCCAACCTAAGCTGCGCATGCCTGCAGCCGCGCCAAAGCAGCCCAAGCCACCGGTTCCGATGCCGGCACCCGAGCCAAAAACCCCCAAAAGAAAAGAAAGAAAGAAACATAAAAAGCCAGACATTTCCTTTAAAATGTAAAAATCTCCCCAGATGGGCATGCTGCCCCCCCAAAAGAGGACATGTCTGGGATTTCCCGGACATATGGCAACCCTGTGTTATGCAGCAGGCTAGATTTGATTACCTGAACAAAGGACGGTCAGATGGAAATGAGGTGTTTTGCTTACACTGTGCTACACTGAAGGGCTTTAGAAGTGATTTCTTAATGTCGCATCTTCAAATGACCCTTTTCCACATCAGTTCATTGGCAGAGGAGCCCTGCACATTTTTTGTGGAACCTCAGAGCGTTGCAGAGTATTCTGGAACCTTTTCCATGGAAGGGCGCATTCTCAGGATAACAATGACCTCACGGTTTTCCTCTGCAGACTGTCCCTTAGAAAGAGGCCCTCACTTCCTTACTGCTGTGCTGGGTGTGGGAAGATGGCGGACCAGCTGTTTTGGAGAAGTTTGCCTGCCATTGCCGAACTCTTAATAAGCTTCCTACATGGAGAGCCAGCGTGGTGTAGTTAAGAGCGGTGGACTCGTAATCTGGTGAACCGGGTTTGCGTCTCCGCTCCTCCACATGCAGCTGCTGGGTGACCTTGGGCCAGTCACACTTCTCTGAAGTCTCTCAGCCTCACTCACCTCACAGAGTGTTTGTTGTGGGGCAGGAAGGAAAAGGAGATTGTGAGCCGCTTTGAGACTCCTTAAGGGGATCTGTCCAAGGAAAGGATTTGGTGACATATTTTACAGGGATATATGGCCCCCATCCTGACTCACCCTCACAAGTTTACCATACTCAGTTTATTAGAACTGCCAGAATGGCCAGACGTCATGCCCAATCAGATTAAGAGGCTAATCGTAAGCCAACTAGCCAATAAAGCTCCAGAAGACATGATCCCAATGGAGATCTATAAGATAAGACCTGATTTCTGGTCACCCATTTTTGCAAAACTGTTTTCACACATTAACAGCTCAGGTTGCATACCAGAAGGGTGGAAGCTGAGTATAATTGCCCCAATATATAAAAAGGGTGATAAGAAAAGCCCTGCCAATTATAGACCCATTAGTTTGTTAGATGTAGCCTCAGTCTAAACTATATGCCAGGCTCCTTCTTGGGATACTAAAAGAATGGGCAGATACAAATAAGGTGATATCTGAAGTCCAGGCAGGTTTCCAAAGAGGGAAATCCACATTGGACCAGTGCTTTGTGATGAACTTTCTGCTATGTAAATACATCCATAATTTGAAGGAAAAATTATATGTCGCTTTTATCGACCTAAAGT